CACCAGGCAATACCATACTCATGGGCTGTCAAGTTTGCAAAATCTACAGTTAGAGAGAGGAAATTTCATGTATAGATACACGTCTGAGAACAAGCAGACAACTTTTGTTGTGTGGCAATTCAATAAGAGCTGAAAATCTCCTCCAAAACTTCAAAAAAACCTTTAAGACATTCTTTGACTCAATGTAAAAAACCACAGAACAAGCCACATGTTAATAGTGGCTCCTTGATATATTTTTCCTTCACTGGAACGAAAATTTACCGTGAACTGAAATTGTCTCTTATGCCGTTGCAAGCAGAGATGTGAATCACACAAACAAAGATGAGAAACTCTCAAGCTAAGCATATGAATCTTATCATGAATCCAGTAATTTTTTTTTTTTTTTACTTGATGCAAGCTGTTTAAGTAGGCTCCTCACTAGAAGCCAAGAGATTCGAAAAATCAGGGGATTTTACCTGACCAAGCATCGCTGCCTCTGCTTCAATTCCTCCAACTCCCCAGCCAGCAACCCCTAAACCATCAATCATGGTGGTGTGGGAATCAGTACCAACCACACTATCAGGGTAGAGAATTCCATCAGTGTTGAACACAACCCTCCCCAGATATTCAAGGTTAACCTACAAGATATCAGAATAATACTTGCAAGTTATACAACACAAGTATACAAGGATACATAGAGACAGCTTCGACAAACATCATATTGTGCACCAGAAATGTCAGTGTGAGATGCTAATTTTCTGAAACCCCTCTAAGCATCTCATACTTCAAACTTGAGACAAGAGTGAAGAACCTTCCAATGCTTTTAACAAGCATAGAACACAAGCATAGAAAGGAAAGTTATTTCTGGAGCGCCAAGATCCTTTACCTGGTGGACTATTCCAGAACCAGGAGGAACCACAAGCATGTTGTGGAAGGCTGAAGAACCCCATTTAAGGAAAGCAAATCTCTCTTTGTTCCTCTGAAATTCATGTTCCATATTTGCCTGTACTGCATTTTCAGATCTTGCCACATCTACCTGAACTGAGTGATCAATGACAAGGTCCACTGGCACCTGAATGCAAATATACTATGTTAAAACACGTGAATAAAAGAGAAGTATAATAAATGTTGAGGTAGATCTGATGTGAAGACCAAAAGTTCAAATGTGTTATAATCAATAAGAAATCAAATTTTTGATCATCAAACACAGATATCACAGCAATTTCAGAGGTTCCAGGACTTCAATTTAACTGTAAAACAGTTCTATTATTAATTCAGGACAAGTAGTTTGACAGAAGATGACAACTCATCTCCCTACATTTTTCCTTCTTGATAATATAACTGAATCACATTAAATAACTTCAGAATTTGATTAGTGAAATAGTGCACATGGAACAATACAAGAAATTTTAAGCGCATCTGAAGGAATTTTCAAACCAATGGATTAATCTTCTCAGGATTGCTGCCAAGATTCTTCATAGCATCTCGCATACAAGCAAGATCAACCACAGCTGGTACTCCTGTAAAATCCTGGTCAACAAGACATAAAATTTACTGCGCGCACAGACACTGCAAGTTCAAAATTACCATCTTAAGCAACTCATGCTATGAACCTGTAAAAGAACTCGAGCAGGCTTGAAGGGGATCTCAACTTGTTTTGAGGATGTATTTTCCCAGTCAATAATCTTTTCAACATCATCCTTGGTAACTTGGAAGTTGTCACAATTTCGTATTGCAGATTCCAAAAGTATCCTTATAGAATATGGCAATCTATCTGAAACGTGAAAGGAAAAAAACAAATTGATGATGAATTACATAAATGCTCTTTTTGGTAAGAATACAATATACAAGGAAAGAAAAAGTAGAAGGAAATGTGAGCTTCGATTAAGTAAAAGCATGTATATGTACATACCGATTCTTGGATCATTCAAAGCAGGTAAGCTATAGAATTTTCCAAACTCTCCACCACCAGGCCTAGGAAGACAAGTTAGTATTCCCTTGAAAGCATGTTCAGGAGCTGCACAGTGTAGAAGTCATGAGTCATGAGTGACAGTGAATCTTAATTGAATCCAATTCCCATTCATCCATACATATATATGGAAGAAAATGATCTTACAGTGTAGCCATCATGCCTTAAAAATCATACAGTTCTTCATAGCATAGATGATTCCATTAAGAAAAGAAGAGCGGTTTACTTATTTTTGCCATCATTAAGAATTATTTGGTTTATTTTCCTCTATCTTCTCGACAGGAAAATGAAATCTCTTCCAAATAAACTAGTGTTAGAATTCAAGAATAGGAAACATAATAGTTAAAGGATTAAAAAAAAAAACACTAGTCCTCCATTTTCTAGATTTTCTCTCTAGCACAGCAGAAATTTTATCACAACTTGCCACTAACAAGCCTACCAAGAATTTCAAGCTCTCTCTTCATTCCGCAAATTAACCAACCTACATCCAGAAAGCCTCTTCACAGTTCACACTGTAAATCGTATATCATCTTAGATTACTTCTGCACACGACTAGACGCCCTATTTCATAACCATAGATGAACTATCTAAGCATTTAAACTGCACCAATAAGAAAGTTCCTACCACCACATAAAGACATCGAAATTCAACAACAAATTCATAAATGATCATTAAAAGTTCCAACAGTTTATGTTCCATTTCCACAATTATAGCCCTAATAAAAACAAGAAACGAATGTATTGGCATGATATAACGACAGAACAAAACTTTCCAAGCATCAGTAACCACTCTCTCAAAAATCAGCCGCAGCCAATCCAATCCACTTATCAAAGAAAACAAAATATTCACTGATCACCACCAACTGCCTATGAAAACAACCAGTTTCAACCTAAAGAGGAAAATAAAGAAGTATACCCACTGTAGCCATCTTCCGTTTGAATTTCTCAATCACAGGAGAGGTAATCCTGGATTGAGCCCGGAGGCTAACCGGCGGCCGCCAGTGGCTCCAACTCGTTGAGGAGCAACGCAGCAACCGGATAGCCGACGAGAAGCTGCGAGACTGATACTTCTGGTTGACAAACGAAACAGAGAACTGAGAACACGAAGAAGACGGTGAGATTCTAGAAGCATGAGGTGAAAATGAGAGGACTCTGGAAAGAGAAGAAGAAGCAAAGCGAATTCGAGAAGGAGGAGTAGAGATGTTCATAGTTTCCTCTTCGTTCTTTTCCCGTTCACAGAGAGAGAGTTCCAAATTCTGAAACCGAATGGAAATAGAAACTACTAGAGAGAAACGGTAGCAGCCTCCAGTGAGCTCAAGAACGGGCGGTTCCATTATGGTTTCGCGCGTGAGGGATTTCATACACTGGGATTCTTCGTGGATCGTTGGATGGATTTAGGGAGTTGGAAAATGACGGCGGATGATTTGATTTGACTTTTGACCTTGAGTTTAATTTTATTTCAATTTTAAATATTTGATTAATCAGAATGAACACAGAAACACATTTAACGGCATAATTGTTCATTGTCATGTTAAGAAAAAAAAAAAAAAAAAAAAAACCTTATGGTAAAATATCATATACCACAATAAATTATTTTTAAAAATAAATTTTAAATTTTTGAATATGCATAAATTAATTAATTGTAATTTTTATATATTCAATATATTCCAATTTATATATTTTTTATTTTTAATAAATAAATAAAAAATATAATTTAAATTAAATATAAAATTAATGTATAAATTATTTTCATTTGATTTTTTATTATAACTAATATAATTGGAATTTATTATATAAAACTGACTTAGTACAAAAATTTAGATTACATAAGATATATATCTACAATATATACCTTTTTTTTTAATGTCAAGTTACATTCAAAATTATGCTCCCAGAAAAAGTAATTTTAAATTAGAGTTTAATAAGGATGAAGGATACTTTCATAGTTTGTATTAAAGGTATAAATATATATATAGATATATTTATTTTTTTACCATTGCAGCAAACAACAATGATATTTTCTATTTCAATTTTTTGTTCAATGATAAAACCACATATTTTGTTTCCTATGTTTTATTTTGTACAAAAACTTGTCCATTAATATATTTTAAAGTATTATTAAATATAATACCATGCTATACTATTAGGATAGGGGCAGAGGGTAAGTCCATAAAGTCACAACTTCTTATTAAGAATGACCTCTTATTATATTTAACTTCTTAATAATTTCTACTATTTAAGGAAATATATATGCAAATAAATATAATTCAAAGTAACATTTGGTAACATTAGAGCAGAAAATTGAATACGTACCACATAATACATGAGCATGTCTTTTATCAAGAAAATTAAAAATATTAAATTTATCATTTTATAAGTATATTATAAATTGATGATAATCAATCTATAATATTTAATTTAATGAGATCAAAAACTTAATTTATTCGTGAGTTATTAAAATTGCAATGATCAATTCGGATAAATATCAATGAATCTATTATATTTTTTTTTAAAAAATAAATATTTTATAACAGTTAAATTTTTTTAATTAAAATAGTCACAATAAATTAAAATTTTAATTTAATTTTTTTATAAAATAAATAATTATATAAAGTATAAGAAAAAAAAAATATATTGTTTAAGGTCATAAAAGCTTGTTGTAAATTTTAGTTATATAATATATCGCAAGATGAATATAAAGTTGTTATGATACAAAGACATTATAAAAGAAATAACAAATTAGTTCTAAAAGCTTTGACAATTCTTGTATTTTAATTTTTAATATTTTTTTCGTTACGATTTAATTACCGACATTTTTTATTTATTTTAAATATCTAATTTCTTTTATTTTTTAGTAGATAAAATTAAAATAGTTGAATATTTAAAAAATTAATTCAAAAGATTTTAACTAATTTATTCGAAGGTATAAAACTAATGTGTGTAAAGATTCAACGTCATAAATTTGTAGATCTGGAACTCCTATCTTCCACTACTACTAAGCAAAATTAAATAAATAAAGCAATGTGCTAAAGTCAATTATGTAACTTATCATTGGCTGAATGGCTAAACCTAATACGGTTAGAGTTTAATAAAAATGTCTGCTTCTGCTTGCTTCGCTCACTTGCATACTGACCACTTTTGTGCTTAGTTGTGTTTTCGCATATATAATTTATTTTAACATATGAAAATGTTGTTTTTATATTACTTATGGTGTCAAGTGACTTATAACAAATGACATGCAACCCCTTCAGAACAAAAGTGAAGAGGCAGCTTAAAAAAAGTGCTTCTAGGAAGTCATCTCTACAGCTCAAAGTGCTTCTAACGAGTCATCTCTTCACTTACATTATGGTCCCTTCAATCTCTAGTATGGTCGCTTGGGTGACACTACTTAATTCCACCTATATAGTTCACATAACAAATTGCATGCAACCCCTTTAGAACAAAAGTGAAGAGGCAACTTCGAAGAAGTGCTTCTAATGAGTCATCTCTTCACTTACATTATGGTCCCTTCAATCTCTAGTATGGTCGTTTGGTGACACACTACTTAATTCCACCTCTGGCTTCACAAAACAAATTGGATGCAACCTGTTTACAACAAAAGTGAAGAAGCAACTTCAAAAAAGTGCTTC